GCAGCTCAGTTGCAAAAGACACCCGTGCAATTTGAAGTAATTTTGTGTTTAAGTAGAACACGAACGTATATTAGATTAAGGGATATTAACAGGAAGATAAGTTTAAACAACTGTAAACGAAAACTGGAAAAAAAGCTATCCAAATTCACAAATAAGAAATAATTAGGTATTATTTTAGAAACTACAAGTTTTGTAAATCACCCTGTATAACCAACAATATTGTTCCAAATAAAAACTCTAAATCTGTTGTATTTTTCTTACCATAGTAGTTCCGATATTTATAAAACATGTTGCAAAATTTTTTCCACGAAAATGTTTTTTTTTTACATAATAGTTATAAATAATATCACCAGTTAACTTAAAAAACAATTTATTTGATTACAATGAAATGTATTTTTTTTCTATTAAACAATGAAAATTATATATTTTATAGATCCTTTTTAAATATAATTTAACTTAAAAATTAGATTTTTGTCGAGCTATCCCAGAATATTCTTCCCGCGATCCTCCTTTAGCACATGCCTGATAGGTATAAACATTAAATAAACACACACAAATTGTATTTGCAAATAGCAATTATTATACTTTATTACCGCAGATATGAAACTATCTATTAAAAACTTAAATAAAATTATCGTGACCGAAATTGTACTTCTCCATACGTATTTTACATTAAAGATTTAAAATTCTGAATCCAAGGTGACGTCACGTTGTGGGAGAGAGATAGACTGCTACATGCGTACCGGCATACCGTGGTTTGTGTATCGTGGTTTTACTCTGTTTTGGTCTGGCAGTATTCTGTTCTTCTTTGCAAACCCATTTCAGTCTCGACATTACTTTCTTACCAGATATGGCCTTAAGGGTCGCTTGACTATCTGACATATGGATTTGCTGGTTTCCGGTAGCTCTCGTATTGTTTGTTCTTGAATATGCAAGATTGCATAAACCTGCCTAAAATACTGATTTTTGTTTTCTCATTGCATAGTTTAAGTTGTTAGGGTTTTTGGATACTCCAACCCCTGTGCCAGTCTTAGATCCGTCTATATACCAAGTTTGTTCCTCTATTCTATTCTATTCTATTCTATTCTATTCTATTCTATTATATTTGGCATTAGAACCTCGAATATAATGTCGAAGAAGTAACACGGTTATGGCTGCGTTAAGTCAAAGGTCAAGTTGACTGATATGATCAGGAGGGTCGCTGAACAATGTAGTCCAAACTGTCTAGTTCTAATTATTCAAATGCCATGGGCCTTAAGGGCCTTCCAATTAGTTTAAAAAAATGTAAAGTTATTCTCAGATTGGTGCATTTAATTTTTTTTTAATAATACAGTTGTTTATTCATATTTTCGATTAAAGAATAATACAAATATTGGCCAACGATGTGATTTACGTTATATTAAATCTTAAAGCACTCAACTCACAGATATTAAGTAGTGACAATTGCAGTTAATTCACCTCTGATCATTTACTAGACAGTTTTGACTACTACAGGCAGACAAAAGGTTTGTTCCAACAGCACAGTTTATAGCTAAAGAATCAGTTCGCTCACTCTGCGTCGGCACTTGTGATCTCAATGTTCCCGTTTATACACTGCGCAACTCAGATTTGTATCCCTGGCGCATACAGAATAAAATCATAACCAATACAATTTATGACAACCGCCTACATTCAAACAGCAGTCTTCTGCGTATCCTGAATTTGTATCCCTGGAGTGGATGTTATTTTGGAACATTCAATTGGTCCGAGTGAGCTAACTGATTCTTTAGCAATAAACTGTGCCAACAGCTTCTATCTGATGTGTCTCTGACTCGTGCATGAATGCATTCATAAACTAATCACTGCGCATGTCAGTCCATTTATTCGTCCGTTCTTTAATCAGAGACAAGCATAGCCTTCAGGAGACAAGTCAGAGACTTGTCTTTGTTGGAACGTAAAATGCAATGGAATTGGACAAAACAAACACATTTGGTAAATAGGTATTTTAAACATTACCGTAATCTGGGGTGAGATCGGACAGGTAGTACGAGTTCGGACAATGGTGCGCGGCGTGGGAAATCACGTGACCATGAGCACGTTTTTCATTGGCGAAGTTGTTTGCATGTTTTTACATGTCCAATATTGTCTCATTTCACTCCAGTTAGGTAGAAATTGCCGCTAGAGAAAGTTTGTGGTAAGTACGGGATATTTTGATATGGGTCGTAATTTGCATATTTTTTATAACGTTAGAAACAAACATCTGGGGGAAGGGATCTGTAAGCAATTGAATCGTAATTTTTCATATAATGTAGGTTTATATGTTTTCTAATGATTCATGAATAATTATCATTTATTTTTTCATTCCCGAATTTTTTTTTTCTTGTTATAGAAAAAATATAGCTTTTCGTGGGGCGAGTTCGGACACCATGCCCAGAAATTACAGGCGTCCTCTTGGCGTAAAACAAAGATCCAACTATGCCAAAGAGGCTTTAAATAAGGCTGTTGAAGATGTCAGGACTAAAAGGAAGACCCTGAGGGAGGCGGCAGAGTTCTACAATATACCAAAATCGACAATAAATGACAAAATGACAGGTAAGCACGCTAAAAAAAGTGGCGGGCAAACCAAATTAAGCCAAGAACAAGAGAGTGAACTGGCACAAGGCATTTTAACTTCCGCCGAATGGGGCTTTCCCTTAACTAGGCTGGATATTCGCCTAATCGTCAAATCATATTTGGACAGATCCGGAATAAAAATCACAGGATTTAAAGACAACATGCCCGGGAAAGATTGGTTTTATGGATTTATGTTTAGACATAAAATTTTATCGGAGGGCCTTGCACAAAATATCAAGAGGAGTAGAGCAGAAGTCGATAGGCAAAAAGTTCAAGAATATTTTGATAACCTTCAGGCTGTTATGGGACCTATTCCTCCAGAGAACATAATTAATTATGATGAATCCAATTTAACTGACGATCCTGGAAGATCAAAGGTCGTTGGTAAAAAAGGATCCAAACATATAAATAGAATTATTGATTCTTCTAAAAGCAGCACGTCAATTATGATGGCTGCTAGTGCTTCAGGTGTTTTGCTGCCTCCGTATGTCGTATACCGAGCTCTTCATATTTACCCAACTTGGATAGAAGGGGGCCCAGAAGGCACTGTATACAGTAGATCGAAAAGAGGGTGGTTTGAGACACCAATATTTGAAGACTGGTTTTTACAAGTGGTTTTGCCTTATTTTCGCAAGTTAGAAGGGCGAAAGTTGTTAATTGGCGACAATCTTTCCAGTCACTTGTCATTGTTTGTGATTAAGCAATGTGAAGAAAACGACATTCATTTCATTTTATTACCCCCATATGCCACCCACTTGCTGCAACCTCTGGATGTTGCGTTTTTTGGCCCCATGAAGAAACACTGGCGTGCAAACTTGACTGATTGGAAAATGAAAAATAAAGGTGTCCTGCCTAAATCAGAATTTCCTCGTCTTTTAAAGAAAACTAGAATCTTTGGGCCCGAATATCGACAAAAATATCAAATCTGGTTTTAGAGCTTGTGGAAGTTGCCCGGAAAGACAGCAGAAACGGATAATGCTAATGATCACTGGAGCCAAAGTTTTTCCGAATATTTAAAAGACTGTAGATGGGAGGAAAAAAGCGAAAAACCGAGGAGGGGTAAAAAGCTGAATGTTGCCCCTGGAAAAGGTGTGAGAACAGAAGATCTTCCCCAAGAAGAAAATATAATTTTTGAGGAGAGTGATGTGGAAAACATTTGCGTAGAAGAGGAAGAAAACGTTTATGAAGACGAAAATGAAATGTCTGTATTTGAGCAACCTTCTACCAGCACTTATGAGAGAGAACCAGAAGTTGATCAAAATCTCATTGAAGTGGGAGATTTCGTTATAGTTTCCGTTCCTTGTGAAGACCAAAAAAAATTTCGATATTTTGTTGGATAAAATTGTTGATATAAAGGAAGAGCTTTTTTTAGTAAAATATCTTAGAATAAAAGGCGAAAAAAATAATTATTTTATATTTCCCGATATTTCTGATGAGGGACTTGCGTTTAAAAAAGATATTTTTAAAAAAATTCTTCTAAAAGAAATAAGAAGAGGAAGACACTTTTTTAAGCACCTTCCCGACAACATCAAAATAGAATAATGAGTTTATTGCAATGTTCTTTAATAATAACATAGTTATTACGTGTTTTTTTAAATGTTTTTATGTTTTTTGGAAACTTATTTTAGTTTTATTGTTTATGTTCTTGGTTAATAACATAGTTATTACGTGTTTTTAAATGTTTTTATGTTTTTTTGGAAAAATATTTGAGTTTTATTACTTTAAATAAAATTGTTCGTACCGAAATTGTGTTTGGACCCCCTATCCCCCCTAAGAAATTTTTTTTATGAAATCTGTATATATGTATATTTAATTATATTTGTCCGAACACACTCTTACTATAAATTAAGTTTGGATTTTCCTATAAATTAAAGGTGATCCGAACTTAGACCACCCATAGGGGTGAGTTCGGACACCTTTCAATAATAAAAAAAAAATAGAATTTTTTGAAATATGCAAAAAACAAATACTGTATTCGATAGAGGAAGGTTTAAGGTTCTTATATTAATTTTTTCAGATTTTTACAAAAATCTAGCCTCTTGCTATTAAATGTGTGCGATCTCACCCCAGATTACGGTATTTAAAATACAACAAAATACATTCTTCCTAGTTCTACTATGATATAAACAACAGACGTTCATTCGTGAAGACACAATATGCTTCACGTTTCCATTTTTATATTTTCTTTCATCATGATCGAATAAATTATCCCGTCATAATTTGCCCAAATCGGCCAGCAGTGTTGCACTTCCGGTCTCCTTGGTGGAACGGATTTTTAGTATGTCAAATATACAGTAAAATAATACAGATCAGTGGTTTTTGCTCACTTAACGCACCCTATGTAATCAGAACTGACGTCTAACAGGTCCCCTGTCACTAACCTTGTGATGACAAATTTTGACATCAAAAATATTTAGAAATTTCTATAACAATAAATAAGTATAGTATATGTATTGTTATTAAACGAAACTAGAACCTGGTATTGTTTAAATTACTTGTGCATAAAGGCGCCCATCAACCATATATACTCTGTATATCCGTCCAGTACGACCCTGTATTATAAATTAACTTCGAACACTGTGGTACTTGACTACCGACCGCCGTCAGTCAATTAAACCAAATAAAGTAACATTTTCAACATTCTCTGAACAAAACTGCAGAGTATTATAAACAAAAAGTTGTTCAATTTTTTGGTAGTTTATATATTATTACCTAATTGACTACAAACTTATTTGAAAACGGTGAGTTATAAAAATTACCTACTTATTTTTAGTAACAAATATTTAAACTGAACCGGATTTTATATTATATAATTTCGTATTTAATAGTTGCAATCAAACAATTTAACGACAAAATTTGTTTAGATAATAGTCGGGTTCCCTAGGGTCAAAATCGAGAATTCAATAAAATTTCTGAATTTATTGGGAAAAAATGACGTTTCTACATTGTATTAGCAAATGCGCTTAAAATGTGGTTATACTGGGTGTTTCATAAAAATCTGACCAACTCTATTCGCTCCGTGCGTGACAGCAGCGCCAATTCATTTAGGTACTAATGAACTGACTATTTCTGCGTATACTGACAATACAATTTTTAAAAGAATTCGTAATTAAAAAGTAGGTATATATGTTAGTTTTAATAAAAGTATATGTATTTGTAAAACATGTAAAACATTAATTTATTATTATTATTTATTTGTATTGCTTAAATTAAAAAAAAAAATAAGTATTACCAATAAAAATCAATAATGAAATATAGGCAGGTTACAGTATTTACGGGAAAATGTATGAGAAGTTGCCTAAGTCTAATAAATTGTCTTTGAAGAATTAACCTATTCTGTTAAAATAAAAAAAATACCATTAAATAATAGCGTGAAGTTAAAATGTATAAACAGAATAATTGTTATTTATATTTTCATTTTTGTTCGAAAGAAAACATAAAATTAATGATTAAAACTGATTTTCTATCAGTAAGTTACAAAATTGCATTTTAGCCACATACAATAATCAAAGGCAGAAATCTTGAAATCTAGTCCTTGTTGAACATTTTAGAATAAAGAGATGTTGAAGAACATCGTAAAATGATAATTTATTGTTTATTTAAAACCTTTCAAGTTTCTGATGTCTACTATTTCCAGTATTACTGTTATTATTACAAAAATAATAGTTATTTTTGTATCTAGTGCGCGAAATGCTACTTTGGTGATCGAGAACTGATTTTTTTTAACGAGGCGCAGCCGAGTTAAAAAAAATAGTCGAGATCACCAAAGTATTTCGCGCATGAGATGCAAACAAAATGTTTTCTACAAACGTCAAAAATATTATTCTAAAATAAGTAACATGCTTAGCTTAATATGAAAAATAGTATTGAACTGGCTTAAACTGTTTTTCCAAATCAAGTAATTACTGTAACTATGGAAATAAAATGGCATTTGTTGACAATTATTTCAAAGTGACAGTTCTTGATAATTATTTTGGAGTGACTTTTTATTCGCGTCAATTTCGTGCGTGATATTTATAACTGTAAAATAATGGAAATTTCGAGCGACGATGAAGTAAGCAGTACCCCACCTAACTTGACAGATGCGGCCAATTCAGTAATTTCAAATTTTTTACCGGAGAAATCGAGGCGCCAGTATGAAAATGCATATCAGCAATTTAAAGAGTGGTGTAAAGCAAATAAATCCAGAAAAATATCCGAAAATGTGCTGTTGGCATATTTTACAGAGAAGTCTAAGAAGCTGAAGTCTTCCACGTTATGGGCAATATATTCTATGTTGAAAGCAACACTCAATGTTAAAGAAAACGTGGATTTTAAGAAATTTACCAAGTTGGTTCCATATTTGAAAAAATTGTCAGTTGGAAACCATCCTAAGAAATCTAAGGTATTGACTAGAGAGGAAGTTGAACAATTCATAAGAGAGGCAGATGATGAAACCTATTTGTTGGTTAAATTTTTGATGATTGTTTTATGTGTTTTTTAAATTACTGATTTCCTTTTAGGTTGTTTTAATACTGGGTATTTCGGGTGCTTGTCGCCGTGAGGAACTCACTAAAATGACGGTCGATGACATAGAAGATAAAAATTCCATTTTGATGGTTAAAGTACTCGATACAAAAACGAATATACAACGAATTTTTTACAGTTTCAAATTTAGATTATATTGACATTTACCGAAAATATGCGGCTCTTCGTCCAAGTTATGCTACCAGTCGCCGATTGTTTTTGAAGTATCAAAATAAAAGATGTTTTAACCAAGTTGTTGGAATAAATAGTATTGGAAAGATGCCTAGCTTAATAGCAAAACACCTAAAATTACCAAATCCTGATGCCTACACGGGCCATTGTTTTCGGAGAACATCAGCCACACTCCTTGCTAATACGGGGGCCGATATATGTGTTTTGAAGCGACGTGGAGGATGGAAATCTTCGACTGTGGCCGAAGGATACGTAGAAGATTCTATCAACAATAAAATTCAAATATCAAATAAAATTTTAGACTGTGAAATTTTAGGATCAAGTGCTGTCAACTCTACGGCAGTTGCTTGCAAATCAAAAATGGATAGTCTTCCAACTCCCAAAACTACGATATCACGAGCTGAATCTGAGTTATCTGGTTTAGGAATAAATATTGGTTCGTGCACTGGCACTGGCTGCACCATTAATGTTAACATTGTAAATAATAAATAAAATTAGGTAGTGTTAAATTTTCTCACAATTTGAAAGCCTTAATCATTGTTATACATTAATAAATAAATGATTTCTTGGATTTTTGCTTGATTGAGGAACATAAAGGTTAAGATATAAAAATCCCATATAGTTTACATGCAGTGTGCGAAGTAAGTATTTCGCACACTACTTCGGGCACGGTGTCGTGGTAACGAAGGAAAATGAAAAAAAGGGTCACTTCGCATATTGTTGTCAATGCGCGAACCTTGTTATTTTTTGACGTTTGTAGAAAAAGGTAATTTTTCTTCTTATTGTACACCTATCCATTTATTTTTTTGATTTAATTTCCACTTTGCTACTGAAATTTTTTATATAAGTTTCACTGTTTTTTTTTTGCTAGTATTTGTACAATTTTCAACACAGCAACTCCGGTTGCTTATTGTATTGTTTTTACCTACCTTTTTGAAAAAAAAGTAAAATGTATACGTGTATTTGATATGCCAAAATTACAAAATATACCCCTAAAATGCACGAATTATCCGCAGCTAGCGCTAGTATCGCTTTTGCTTCTCTTTCCATGACTTCGCACGGAGCGAATAGAGCATATTAAGAGTAAATGCGAAAAGACAATTAACATGTTAAAATGTGTCTCAAAAACCAAATCGGGTGCTGATCCTAATATCGCACTCCAATTCTATAGGGCATATATTCGGTCTATTATAGATTATGGAAGTGTTTTGGATGGTAGTGCAGCAGAATTTCATCTGTATACCGTAAATAAAATTCAGTATAATACTGTTAGAATTTGTCTTGGAGCTATGATATATTCCCCTGTTCAAGCTCTTCTACTGGAAGCTCAAAAACCACTCTAGAAATAGTTATTGGAATTCTAGAAAATGTTCCTTACTAGCGGAATCATACCACAAACAATAGATTTCCAACCTTCATTTCGACGCTTTAACGTACAAACCAACCGTGACTGTGCCAGAATACATTGAAACTTATCCACTAAATAAAACACTCCTTCTATCCATCTTGACTCGTTACAATAACCATCTTATATACATTTATACAGATGGATCGAAATCGGTAGGTGGAACTGGTTTAGCACTTCAGGTCTCTGACACCAATCATAATATTCATTTATTTAAAATTCCTGATCATTGTTCTGTATTTTCTGCCTAAATGGTGGCCATTGAAAGATCTTTAAAATGGTTTATAGACAATGAGTCAAAACATGCGATCATATTTTGTAATTACAAATCTGTTCTTACTGCCTTAAACAATTTAAATGTTCTTAAAAAAATTCCATTCACCTTTGTAATATTAAAAAATACCTACATATATTGCTAACTTCAAACATAAATGTTATTTTTGTGTGGGTTAATGCCCATTGCGGAATAGTGGGCAACGAAAAACTGGACACTAGCAAAAAAAGCAACCTCCTCAATTTTTAATTTTTTAAGGTTTTTTTCAAAATATTTTTGATATGACTTTAACGAATAGAATGAAATTTTGGTTCTACAATGTACTCAAAAAATCAAATATTTTTAAAATTTTATAATTTTCCTATTTTAAATATTTTTCTCTTATCAAGTAATAAATTGTAAACACTTAGACCTACCTACATTTTAAAATATTCACTTTGTTGCAAGATTAGTCTATCTTCCTATCATTATGTTGTTAATATAATGTTTTTGTTTTATTTAACTATACAAGGTGCTTTTTAAATATTGTTGTATTTTTTTACTGTTGCTTGGTTCGGATAGAAAAATTTATCTTCAATTTATGATTCTTCATCTTCGTGAATCCTACGAAATTGACTCTAGAACAGTAGACAATTATGAACATTTCCAAATTTCAATTTTTGAGAGGAATATTTTACTTTGAACTCTAACGGTTACTATATTGAAATATTTTTCTACCTTAAATTTTTAAACGACTTCAAGAAAGGAGGAGGTTCTCAATTCGTCGTAATATTTTTTTATGTATGTTCAGCGATAATTCTTTAACAAGGTGTCCGATTTCAATGATTCGGTTTTTGGTAGAAAGGGGGTACTTCAGGGGTACTCCCATATAAATATGTTCAAAATCTAATAATTGGGTCCATTAGAAAATCCTTAAACTCTTAATTTTTTATGTATATTTAGCGGTAATTCTTTACCACCTAATCCGATTTCTATGGTTCTTTTTTTGTTAGTAAGAGGGTACAACAGGGGTCCCCTATAAATTTGGTCAGGCTGTGGTAATGGCATTTACACGATTTTAAAGTCGGTTTTTTAAAATTACTTTTATAACTTGTAGAGTATTAAATCGGAGAATAGATCAAGCACCTTCACCAGCTTTTGAATACCACTAACAGCACCGTGTCCTGTCACGGTCACCATATTTAGCAATTTCTAATTATTAACTATAATTAGAAATTATTCCAAAGCAAACCTATGTTCAATGGTAAAAACTTATAATAGAAAAATAAGATACTGACAAAAACGTCTGACAAATCTTATTTTTTTTTTTTTTCTCAAAAAAAAACACTACAATTTTCAAGGAAACAACAATACAAAAATAGAAC